CTCGCCTCCAAAAAACCTAGCGCTCTAGGAGTTTCGAATCCTTGCGCAAAAGGATCATTTCCTGTCCTCCAACGTGAGATCCTAACTCGATAGGACTTTGATCGCCTTCCCGAACCAAAAATATAAACGACGGACCCTAGCGCAGTAGGATCCTTTCCTTCTTCGTAAGTCGGATTCCAACTTCGACGCCCAGGTAACGTTGCCTTTCTTGGGCTGATTCAGATCCGACTGCAGGAAGTATTCAACGGAATAGCAGTACCTGTCTAACAATCGGTAGTAATCCGTTACCCGTTGGTGGCATCGAAGTCGAAATTGCCCCGCACGCAAACGGAACACCGCCTAATCGAAAGTCCTATACGCAAACAGGACGCCGTCTTATCGAAAGTCCCGCACGCAAACGGAACACCGCCTAATGGAAAGTCCTGTACGCAAACAGGACGCAGTTGATTTCGTGTTGATCCGCTCGAGCTACATCGCCCTCTTGAGTCTGCTTCTCACGTCCCAGCACAGGTCCTCCCGTGCCAGTGTCAGCCGTCGCTCGTTGGCTGAGCAGAGTAGCTACTTTTCCTTGCTTATATTCCCCAGTACATTCTGCCATGAAAAATGTCATAAAATTTCGAATTAAGAATAACGAAAAACACTTTTTTCACGGATGCTACGTGAAGAGATATTAAACTACTACAAAAGAACGCATTTAACATTTGACGATCACCCCCACACGCTTTATAAACGCCATTTCAAAATGCTCATGAATATTAATGAGCCTAGCAGCTTGTGTTTTTCGTAGGATAGTTTGTGGATTATATTAAATATTTTCGTAGGATATTGAAGCTAACTATGCTTTTATGCTTATATAGCGCTAGGTGCTGCTGGGAAATGGTTGCGTCATCGTGCACCACTTTCCCATTAGTGTAACACGATGACGTCGAGATATGTTTCCGGACGTTCGCGTTCGAGCCCGGACGCAAACAATTTTCGAGTTTGCGTCAACTAAGTGGAGTGTTATTGTTACACCACTTTTCCTATTCTTAATGCATTGCGGTTGTTGTAAACGCCAAACGCGTCAGTGAACCGGTACAGATGCTGGGAAATGGTGACGTCATCGTGCACCGCTTTCCCGTCGGTGTAACGCGATGACGTCCCCAGTGTTGAGGAATAGGCTTCCAGTGTTAAAGAATAGGCTTCTAGTGCTAAAGAATAGGAAACAGTGTTAAAAGATAGGACAAAAGTCACGTGTGGTCGTGACGCTCTATGACCCCCATATTTGGGCAAAGGGGAAAATTCTTCATACTAGAAAGGACGGTCACGTGTCGAAATTTCGATGACGTCATGGTGTATATTGAGTTTTTCGAGAAAGCCCTATTCTTCAACACTGGCTCCTATTCTTTCCAGTGTTAAAGAATAGGAAACAGTGTTAAAAGATAGGACAAAAGTCACGTGTGGTCGTGACGCTCTGAGACCCCCATATTTAGGTAAATGGGAAAATTCTTCATACTAGAAAAGACCATCACGTGTCGAAATTCCGATGACGTCATGGTGTATTTTGAGTTTTTCGAGAAAGTCCTATTCTTCAACATTGGCTCCCATTCGTTCCAGTGTTAAAGAATAGGCACAGCGTGTACAGAAGTTCATTTCGCTAATTTTTGCGAACGTGTATTTGATATAAAAAATTTTAAAAATCGAAATAACATTACATAATCAACGTATTACACATGGGGACA